TCTATCTATCTATCTATCTAATTTGTTCCCGCCCATCTCCCCCCCATGGGGGAGTCTGGGCAGCTCACAACTCATTAAAAACAATAAATAAATATACAATTAAAAGCCTATAAACCCAGTTACAAAAGATGAAGGAAAAAGTCCAGGAGGCTGGTTGTCCAGGGCAGCAACTCCAGGCCTCTAAGGGGCTAGCTAACCCCACACTTAATGACTTCCCTCCCTACCCCAGGCCAGATGGCAGAGCCAGGTCTTCAGATCCCTCCAAAAGGCCAGGAGTGAGGGGGCCAATCTCACCTCTGGGGGCAAGATGTCTGTCTGTCTGTCTGTCTTAAATTAACAGTGCTGGACCAAAGACAGGCCTAAAGAAGGGTAGAATTACGGTCCCTCTTTATAGACTTTTGCAAATTAGAATATACATATGATATGAGCCAGGCATTTCATTGGATATGCCATGTGCCTAGTGAAGTCAGTGAGGCCATTAGTGTGTAATTATGAGGTAATGGGGCGGGACTACAAAAACGATAGGGCTTTGAAAGAACAAAGAGGCAATCTTTCATGAACATAGTTTCTTTCTAGGGAGTTACTTTCTTCTGCTTTCCTAGAGTCCTTCTCATTTCCCAGTATTTTTTCCCAGCTTATCAGCATTCCTTGGCCTCCTAAATGTTTTGTGGCTGAGCTGACAAGTTTAATTTTTCTGGGAAAGCGTTTTTTGTAATGGAGGTAGTGGCCCAGTTTGACATCATATACTGAGTCAGTGCTTTGTTTTCTCTGGGAAGATGGTTTTGGGTGATGGGCTTTTAGCTGAGCCCCTAAATTCTCCTTCATTTGGGAAATGTAAAACTTGCTTGGGGAAAGCCCGTTTCCTTGTTTTCCAATGCTGCAGTGTGTTTACAAGTTGTTCATTCTCACAAGAGTGAGAAGCAAAGTAATTTCAAAATGGCAATTGGTTGGTACATTGATGAGCATTTGGCCACTTGACATAATTTGGATGTCCAGATTACTTGTTTCCCACCAATAAAATCAGATCTATATCCTGAAGTGAATCACTAATGCTATTTCTGCTTCCTTCTTTTGGAATAAATACTTCTATGTTTAAATCTTTTGGAATGAGCACTTCTATGTTTAAATCTCTATGAATATATCTGCATAGACAGGATTAATATATCTTACAGTACAGGTAGTCCTCGACTTACGACCATTTGTTCAGCAACCATTCAAAGTTACAGCAGTGCTGAACAAAGGGGCTTACAACCCGTGGAAGAAGTTACGGCCATTGCAATGCCCCCATGGTCATGTGATCAAAATCTGGGCACTTGGCAGCCCGCCCACGCTTATGACCACAGGGGTGCTTCAACTCCCCCCACCTATCCTCCCCCCGTCTTCCTGGGGAAGATGGCGGACTGAAGACAGCTCCATGTAAAGCAAAGCCAATGTCGGCAGACTTTAAAAAGCAGCCGATTAACATATGGAATGGATTGTAAGGATGTCAGAATTGGCAGAAATGGCAAAACGTACCTGTTTGGTCAGAGATAAAGCAATAAGTACTTTTATAAAAGACTGGAAACCTTTTATGGACCTTTTGTTGAAAATGAGAAGCGAAGTGGTGATTTATGGTTTTGATGGTTGAAGAAGGACTAAATAAGGGGCTGAAAAGATTTTTGTAATACCAAGAGGAAGGAGGAATAATGAGTTTGTTTATAACTATTGTAAAGAAGATCAGAAATCACATTTTTTTTCTTTCTTTCTTTCTTTTTCTTATTCTGCTTTGCTTTTTGCACTCTTCTTTTTCTTCTTTTTATTTTTTTTCTTCATATTTTTTCTTTACATTTGCTTTTTACTTATGTAAAAATTCTTAATAAAATAAGAAAAATTATATATATAAAAAAATGGGGAGCGGAGAATAGACTGCTATTTGAGTTTCTGAAAAAATATATTCGGAAGTGCTGAAATACATTGCAAATTGCAATATGAGCTACTTTGTCATTATCTAATTTTATCCATAATAATTGCATATTGTGTGGCAAGTTAAAGTTCTTATGACATTTTGTTTCTACCAAATAAATCTGATCGTACACTATTTTAGGAGCCTCCTAAATAAAGTCGCTGAGTGTTGGGAGGCATATAAATTTAATAAATTATTATTGTGAGGAAATGTTGTTGTTGTTGTTGCACTGTTTTCCAAGTATTTAGCAACTGAGGTTGTGAGGTGATTCCAGTAATTCTGTAAAAACTAGCCTCTTTTGAATGCAGTGATTCCATTGCTTAGCTGTATGTCCATTGCACACAATGAAGTATTATCATCACCTAAAGCAAGTGTTCTATTTTCACTTTTTATTGGTGGGAAAATGAATTATCCAACAATATCCAGTGATGGTCTCCATAACAGAGAGTACAGTATTTGCCAAAGTCAAGTTGAATGCTTTATCCTCTGGACATCCCAGCTTTCTTAGCACCACAGCTACAGGGCATTGGGACGAGATGATTCGGTGGTTGCTTCTGTTGTCCCTGCAGAGGTGACATACCCAGCTGCATCTCTGTTTGGCTTCAGAGGCCTGGAAAGCTTGCTACTTCCCATATATTGGCAGGATTAAAATGGCCAGCATAATGCAAGTATTAATCTTGTGTTGCTAGGGTGGACTGTGTTGGAATTCTGAAGTTGAGGAATGCAGACGTTGAAGCTCGAATAGGCATTGCTGGTTCCAAGAAAAAAAGCACTCGAGCCAGACTGGTTTTCCGTGTCAACATCCCTCGGAAAGATGGCTCCACTCTAACTCTGCAGACACCATCCTCGCCCATTCTGTGCAGTAAGTGGCAAAGTTGAACTCTGAAGCAGGTCCCCTAAGAACCAAAAGCCCCCTTACTTGTTGAACTATCTGGCATCTCAGCAGAGGCTTGCACCTTACAAAAATGAAACCAAAAACTATTTTCAGTATTTAATGGAACATAGAACTTGAGAGAATCTTCATAAGTGATCTATTTTAGTGACATGAAGGATAAAACACAGACAAACAGAATTTCAGTATTGCTTTAGGACCTCAGCTCAGAAGTGCATTCTGTTTTGATAATGGCAACAGGAATGATTAACCAGCCTGACAAAATTGAGATAAGTCATTGTATTAATGCAGTGAATATGTGCAAATGCAGATGCACTATTTCATTCTTTAGATTGTCTGATGTCTATTACATGCTGGGAGTAGTCCTAAGTAATTTCTTCTGCTGTTGATGGGGTCAGGCCAGCCTTGGAGCAGTAAGCAGCAGCTAACAGGGCTTTTTTTCTCGGCTGAGGTTAGAAGAGCTGTTACCTGGTGCTCTTAAGCCTGTGTTAGGCAAAACTTTTGTGGAGAGGCCAGGGTAACTTACAACTTTGTGTACCCTGGGAGTCTCCCAGCCAAGCACATGATTTAGTTGGGGGATTGTGGCATTGAAACGTAGCAGTTTCTGGTCAGGGCAAATCAAGTATTACCAACTAGCTTTAGATAAATAATTTCAGTTCAGTAAAAAATTCAAACTGGGTTGAGGCAATCTACATCTAGGTTTAAATCCTGCTTTGTATGGCTGTTTTTTTCCTTTGGGCAAGCAGGTTTTGGCTAGTGCAGTATTTCTGGGTTAATGTGTCGTTTGGAGACTTGTCATAGGATAAGCAGTTTTAAAGGTTATTTGTGCCGGTCAAGCAAAGTAATATGGGCACTTCTGTGAAGCAGGTTTTAAATATTTAGTCAATACATACAGATGTTTCTGTAAGGCAATAAGTAATGCAATTTATTTATACAACAGCACTTTATTTATACAACAGCAAACTGGTGCCTTTTTACTTTGATATTGCCTAAATATGAGAAATATTGTGAAGCATATTTTGCAAGATTCTGGCCATGAGTTCCCAGGGGAGCTGTGCTGTGCTTTCCCCATAAAAGCAAAAGTAGGCATACTTTTTTGAATCAGACTTTTGCTTAAGCATGTGTTTGTTTCACAGTATTTGTCCTTTCCACATGTAGGCTGTTAGAGGCCCTGGGGTATATAGCTGATTGTATACGGATGCCTTCAGTTAAAACTCCTCTTTTCCTTTTGGTAGCTCAACCTGCAGGCGTGCCAGAGATCCTAAAGAAAAGCCTACATAGTTGTTCAGTGAAGGGAGAAGAGGAGGTATTTTTGATTGGCAAGAATTTTCTGAAAGGAACCAAAGTGATCTTCCAAGAGAACGTATCTGGTGGGTATCAAGGTGTATGTGCCTGGGTTGGGCAAACAAAATCACACGTGGATTGAAATGGCTGGCAACTGTGAGAGCTGTTGGTTTCTGTGACTTCCTCAACAGGCACAAGGAAGCTGACCGGTGCGTTTGTTAATAACTTTCCTGCCTTGCTTTCAAACAGATGAAAGCTCCTGGAAAGCCGAAGCAGAAATCGACATGGAGCTGTTTCATCAGGTACTTGCTTCCTTGGGGATGCAACTATCCGTCTGATCTTGAGAGTATTAATTAAAACAATTCCTTTTATGATTGTTTTGAGGGTGGGGTTCAGATAAGCATGCACATGTGTTTTATTCCCATGCTTAATGGGAAAAGTAAATTTTCCGAAATCTGTGGAAAATTTATGGCTGAACATAAATTATGACAGTGGTGAGAGCAATAGTCTGAATTGAAACGTTTAAGACAAACGGAGAATTAGACAAAAGTAGTAACAGGTAAGAGCACTTTCTTTGTCTGTGGGTTGCTCACAAATGAGCTGCTTTCCACTGATGCCTTTTGCTTATTTTTTCTCTCTCCTGGTCTTTCCTTGATTGCAAAATTGCTGTGCATTTCATCCCTTCTGCAAGTTCTCCTTTCTGTGGAAGCCATCCCAGCCTTTAACATAGAAACTTTTTTTGAATCTGAACATTTGAAAATTTGGGAGTCATTGTCGCTGCCATGGTGGTCGTGATCAGTCACAAAATGCTCATTTCGTACAGGGCAGTCTGCTATTATCTTAAAAAGAACTTGCCAATAAACCTGCATTCAAAGCAGAGGTTTAAGCTCCAAATGCAAAATTATTTTGAACCCCTTGTTTTCTGTTTCACTAATGGCAGCTATTTCTCTGGGGAGCAATGCAGCTGTAAAGCTACTTGTTTAAACATTGATCAAGCCATACATTCATAAGTGAAATGCTTTTTACTTCAGTGGTGGAAGACAAGGATTGGGCTCTGATGTCCCAGCTGCCATAAGCCCCTGTTAACAAACTAGTGCTGTGGTTTCTGAGTCAAAGGCAGCCTGGTAGCAAAATGAAGAAAACGGCTGACTTTTGATATGGAATCACCATTCCTCTTGCCTGGGTCTCTCCTCCTTACTGGTTGTTAGGATTGGGACTCTTCGGTCAAATTTTTGCTCAGCTTGAAGAAACCTTTCAGGTTTCTCTTTGCCCAGTGTTTGTGAGATTGAGCACCAGTCCCTCTGCTCATTTTCTTAACTGCCTTTAAGAGCTCACTAGAGGTAGCCTTATTCTCACCTTTCCATTTAAGCTTGCTCTGAGTCCTCCACCTGCCCCCCCCCAGCCTTTTTAGGGATGGTCTAGTAAAGAGCACTGTAAACTCTAGCAAAGAAAGTAACCAGCAAGTTTTTGTTCATGTGCCAGATTTCTGAAATGGAGGGGAGCTAAGAATGGAAACAGTATGCTTATGTGTCTGGGCCCTTCTTGATAAAAATCAACATTATTTTGTGTCACATATCACAGGCTAAAGGCCTTTAATATCTTGCCACATTCTTTTTTGCTTTCAGAATCATCTAATTGTGAAGGTGCCACCTTATCATGACCAGCAAATAACTACGCCTGTTTCTGTGGGGATTTTTGTCGTGACCAATGCTGGGAGATCACATGACATACAACCATTTACATACACTCCGGATGCATGTATGTAAAAAGCACAACATTTGCAGGGAGCGGGATCTTGGTCAAAGTTTGCACTGCTTGGCCTGGGAACTGCATGGAGAGCATGAATCCTTAGCCTGAGGGTCCCTGGGCAATGCTTGCAGTTTGGGATAGATGGCATTTGCAGCTACCATAGACTTCAAGGAGCTGTGCTGAATGTTCAGATTGTTGGCCTCTTGATTTTGAAATGTATAGCTTACACTTATTGTTGATCTGAAAAAGAGGGAAGCTTGATATATAATTTCCCTGGTTACATCTTTTCTGAAAGTTCTGCCTCTTCCATCAGCAGCTCATACTTTGAATGTGAATGTGAAGCAGGAAATATCCAGTCCAACCCAGCCCTGCTCTTTTGATGATGGAGCCAAAGGTAACTCTTGACAGCAATCTTTCTTATCCTTTCAGCTTTCTGCCAAAGACTTTGTAAAACTGTGTTGAGGTCATCATGTTGAAAAATTGCCATCACAATTGAGTGGTTTATTCGGGGTCTTTCAGGTTACAGGTGTTTTCTGTTAACATGAATTGTCTCTCCTACTTCTGTCCACTTCCCAGCTTACTTCTAAAAACTCCTGTTAGTGACAATATGTGAGAGTCATAACATCCATTTCATCTCTTCTCTTTCTTAAGCAAACCTGTATTCTTGTTTCTAAACTGTTGCCATGGTTTATCATGAGGTCTTCCCCAGACTTGGGCTCTCTAGGTGTGATGAAGTACAACTTCCATTATTCCGAACCAAACCCACCCCCAACTGTGCAAGTTGTGAGATGGTGGGAGGGTCATCCATCACACGTGGAGGGCAAGCATCTGGACAAGTTTGTTTTTCATCAGTCACAGTGAAATGCTGAGATTTTTGATACCCAGTTTCTTTTGCCAGATATTTGGCTCCCGTGGTTGAGGCTTGTGACTCTAAAGTGGTAACATTCTGCATGTTATTGTTAGAATTGTTTCCTGCAGCTGATGAAAGGCTCCTGGGCATACCGGCTCTTTCCTTTATAACCTTATTTTCCTTATATCTTTAAACCCTTTCTTTAAAAAAGGAAAAATTGGATATATCCATAAAATATGGATATTTGAGGAAGGAGAACTGAAAGCAGGGAGAAATTTCATTTTGCACACCACAGAGTCTTTGGAACCCTTAATATACTTACCTTTGAGAATCATTTTTGATTGTGGTGGGATATAAATGTAATAAGCAAGCTTTGGTGGGCCAGAGATCATTTGGTTGAGCATAAGGTGCTTGTGCTGGTAGGCTCAACCATAATAGTTGTGTCAACCCTCAAGGGTTTTTGTGTGTGTGATAGGTTGACATTGGCATTCAGAGGTCTCTTTTATCCCCTGGAATTCTTTGCCAGAACAGACTACATAGCCAGAAGGGGTTGTCTTCCATTCTTCTAATAGGCTGTTCTCTCCATTAGATCCTGTATTTTTGAGTTTCATCCTCCTGTGGCTGACTTAGGGAGTTGATTCTGTTCTTTATCTTGTGCAGTGAACACCAGTGGCTGTAAGCTAGACCAAGTAAATATTCTCTCCAGTGCCTTGGTAACTCCTCTCAGGCCAAACAGTATCATTAAGAATGAAGAGGCTGCTCCAATGGAGCTTGTGGCTGAGAAAAGGTCTCTTCCTGCCTTTAAAGTAAGTAGCATATGTCTTCTATAACAGCAGAACAAAATTAAGAAGGTTTTATTTAGAACGTTTGTTTGACGTCTGATGTTTCTTACTAGAGTTGTGACAGGTTTGGTAGGAGTACAGTACAAACGTCTCTATCAGCTTCTTCCAATAGGCAAAAGTGGTTTAATGAAATGATAACTCTATTTTCCCTTTGCTTGTAAATAGTTTAAGATATGATAACACAGTAGTGTACCCTTCTTTTAAAACTGAAGTAGCCTCAGAAAAACAGGCGGTGTATTTATGGAAACTAAACATTTTTGCCTACCAGAAGAACTGTTGGCATTCTACCATTAACCCCCTGGGAAAAGGGGTTTTATGTCTTCTGACTGTAGATTTGACACATTATTATAATCCACTCCAGTAAAACAGTTTAACCTCTGCTGTGGTGTTCATAACAATGCTAATCATTGGTGTAAGGAATGTATTTCTAAAAATTTGAATTTTTTCAATGGAAAAGTATATAATGAAGGAATATCTTGTAGAATTCAAGATAGTTTATTTTTCTCCCTGAATTATGGTTAGGTAGAGAAAAGTGTAAATTCTCATTATTGCAATGAGAACTTTTCAGTTAGTCTGAAGTATGTTTGTGTTTTGCCCAGTTATTTGTTCATTTGAATTGCCCAATGGACAAATAAAATGCTATTTTCTTTCTATACATAAAATGAAGAAGTAACCAAAAGATGCCCAGTTACTAGAGGCTTACTATGATTTCTTTTGATTTCTAAAAAAATACCCTTGTTTTTTATGCAGTTCTGGAGAAATGTTAGTTGTCAAATGCCACTTATACAGGTAGTCCTCAACTTAATGACCTTATATAACAAAGTTACAATGGCACTAAACGGTGATTACAACCAGTCCTTGGAATTCCAGCTGTCCCAGCATCCCCATGGTCATGTGATCACGATTTGGGCGTTTGGCAGCTGGCTCACACGACCAGTTGCACGCCCCATGATCACACGATTGCCATTTGCAACCTTCCCTCCTGGCTTCCCCAGAAAGTCAATGGGGAGGCTCACAGAGAAGGTCGCAAGTTGCTGGGATAATTCTCCCCCATCCACACACCCTCCCCCAGCACCTCTGCACTCGTACTGCACTGGCCACTCGTGCACCTCCACGCAACCTCCCCGACCCTCCCCATGCCACCCTCGCACAGCCCAGTGCACCCTCCCCAACCTTCCCCACACCTTCTCGTACCCTCACGCACCCTCCCCAACCCTTGCCACACCTCCTGCGCACCCTCACTGTACCTCCCTCGTACCCCCATGCACCCTCCCTGATCCTTGCCATGCCTGTCGTGCACCCTCCCCAACCCTTGCTATGTCTCCCTCATATCCTTGTTGTGCACACTCCCTGAGCCTTGCTCTGCCTCCCTCACACCCTCGTGCCTTCCCTCATCCGGCAGCAGCCACTTAACTACCTGCCAGCCTGCTTGCGAGCCGCCTGGGACTTGCAACTTCCTGCTGGTTTCCCCACTGTCTTGGTTGTAGGAAGCTGGCAGGAAGTTGCCTCGCCTAACGACCATGGGATTCAGTTAACAATGGCAACTGGGACTGCAGGGATTGCCGTCACTAAGTGATTCGGTCGCACTTTATGACAGCGTTGCTTAGTGACAGAAATTCCAGCCCCAATTGCCATCCTAAGTCGAGGACGACCTGTATTTCCATATCATTTTCTCTTTGATTGTGTTACCCACTCACACACATTACTCAGTAATTTTACCAAGCAAGATTCTCACAGAGTGTTCTTTAACAAGAATTTAAAGATGAAAGGAATAAAGTTACAAGAATTCCAGCAACTGAACTAGTTTAATTTAAAACCAATTTATCCCCTAATACATTAAATTAGAAACTTTCTTAGTTTCTCTGCAATGGATGTTTTGTGACCCAGCAAGGAGGTTGTTCTTTACATTGACGAGGGAGGAGTTTTTAAGTGGCTGTTTACAAAATTGTCCTTATCAGTCTGTGAGGATTACAACATTAGATTGAACACGCAGTCTATTCTTAACAATGCCTTGACTTCTCCAGAAGATAATGTAGCCACAAAGGGATAACGCTGGGAAGACCCACTGTATCTTTTTCAAGCCTTCAGCTTGGGGGTGGTGATGTCGACTCCTCAAGAAAGCTTACAAATGTGACCTTACTGTTGTGTGCACATGTTTCTCTTCAGACAACCAGCGTCATTGGGCAATCTCAAACAACTTTGGAGACCACCATGTCCAACATATTGGGGAATGGCACTTTCTCCTCTTCTGCTTCTCATTTAGCTTCAGAGAGTGACAAACCACCACTGCAGCCCAAGTATACTCCTGAGACGATGCCTGCCCTCCAGACCCAGGACATTGTGCAGTCTGGCAGCTTTCCAGCCACCTCCGCTCCTAGCCAGCTGCAGAGCAGCGACACCTTATTGCAGCAGGCCTCCCAGTTTCCCTTGAGGGAGCCTTCCTCCAGAGAGGCTTTGCAGTCGGACAGCACGGCCATGGCTTTGTCTCAGTTGACAGAGGCATCCCAACAGCCGCCTCCCCTTCAGGAGTCAAGCCAGGCATTACAGCAGCAGATCTCCTCTGGCATGTTCTCCTCAGCCGGTGGAGTGAGCCAGCTTCAGAACACAATCCAGCAGCTACAGGCAGGGAGCTTTCAGTCTAGCACGGGTGGCGGCGGCGGCAGCAACAGCAACAGAAATGTTGATTTGGTACAGCAAGTCCTGGAGGCTCAGCAGCAGTTGTCGTCTGTCCTGTTTTCAGGGTCTGATAGTGAGGATGTTCAAGAGCAGCTCAACGTAGAAATTTTCCAGCAGGTTAGCCAAATCCAAAATGGAGTCAGCCAGGGGATGTTTTCCTCCTCTGACCAGGTTCACTCAAGGGCAGAAGACCTTCTCTCTAGCAGAACTGAGAACATTCACCCACAGCCAGAGACTTCTTTGACTGGCCAGCAGCCGCAAGCGATGGAGACTTCTGCTGCGATGGTGATCGAAATGCAGCAAGGCCTTTGCCAGGCCCCAAGCCGAATGCAGTCTGATTTGTTCTCCTCCTCCTCGGGAAATGGAAACATCCAGCAGTCCCCAGTGTACCAGCAATCTTCCCACATGATGAGTGGGCTGTCGGCAAATGAAGACATGCAAATGCAGTGTGAGTTGTTCTCTTCCACCAGTGTTTCAAGCAGCGAAGCAGCTACTCCTGTGCAGCAGCAGCAGCCACCGCCACCGCAGCAGCAGCAGCAGCAGCAGCAGGTGCCCACCAGTGGCCCTGCCATGTTCTCAGCTTCAGGCTCTGCTGAAGGTGATGAAGCTTCAGGACAGGCCAAACAGATGCAGAGCAACGTCTTTCAGGCTATGGTCCAGATGCAGCACAGTGGGGAAAGTCAGGCACAGGTTACCCTCTTTTCTTCCTCTGAGGACATTATGGCTGCCGTTCAAGGCACTGGAGCACAGCAGCAGGGCGGGGGGCTCTTTCAGCAGAGCGGAGAGATGATCTCTCTTCAGTCTGGCAGCTTCTTGCCCCAGGCTCCCCACTCACAGCCTCAGCTGTTCCACTCTCAGAGCCCCATTGGGGACACCCAGAGCATCTCGCAGGAGACATCAAATTCTCTTTTCCACAGCCAGAATGCTGCCTCTTCTTCTGAACAGCTGCAGCAGCCTTTGTTTCACTCCCAGGGTAGCCTAGGAGTTGTTCCGGACCAGCCGACGGGCAGCCTGTTTCTCTCCCAGAATCCAATGAGCTCCTCAGTCACGCAAGAGGAGCAGATGCCGTTCTTTGCCGCCCAGAGTTCTCTTTCTCCCTTGCAAGCCCCCGCCAGGACTGAGCAGCAATCCTCCTTCCAGCAGCCCCACCTCCAGGGCCCTCTACTCACCCAGGAGCAGTCCCAGTCAGCACATCAGGGCCTGTTCCAGGCACAGGTAACTCTAGGCCCCCTCCCTCCTTCTGGGGTGCCCTCCAGCCAGCAGGGGGGCATTTTCCAAGCTCAGCATTCACTTGTGGCTCTTCAGAATAGTGCCTCTACCCAAGAGCAGCAGCAGCAGCAGCAAAATATGCGGTTCAGCAGTCAGAACAGCATGGGCCCTGTGACCACTCAGAAACAAACCATGATGTTCAGTTCCAGTCCCAGCTCGATGGCCAGCCAGGAGCAGCAGCAGAGCCAGCCTCTCTTCCACCCCCAGAGTGGCCTAGCACCAAGGAGTCAAGAGCAGCAGCCCATGCAGTTCCAGAGCCAGAGTTCAGGCTCTGCCCAGGCAGAGCCGCCACAGCCGCCGCCAAGCTTATTCCATGGCTCCCCCCAGATGCAGCTGGTGCAAGGATCTCCCAGCCCTCAGGAGCAGCCGGTCACCCTCTTCCTATCACCGGCTTCCATGTCTGCCTTGCAGAACAGCATGAGCCAGCAAGAGTTGCAGCCGCCCCCTCTCTACTCTTCACAAAACAGCCTGCCAAGTATCCAGGACACTTCGTCGCCCCCCCAGCAGCAGCAGGCAACCACTTTATTTCATAATGCACCTGCTGGCAGTTCCATCAACCAGCTGCAGAACTCCTCAGCTTCATCCCAGCAGACCTCCGGGATATTCCTCTTCGGCATCCAAGACAGTAAGTTTAAGTGGCTGTTCAGGGCACTAGGTTTCCCTTGCTGGTCTGCCTGTAATATGGGTACTCTATTTTACGTGGCTAAGCCATGAAAAAACAAATTCAAAATTAATTCAAATCAAGATTCTCTGGGATTTTATGGGCATTATAACCACTTGGGTTGACATTGGCATTCAAAATCATGATTCTGCTTAGTTCTCCCTGCTCAGCAAGTTTATACTTGGCTCTAAGTGGTCATTAGCCTTGTTTGGGGATGGGTGTGTGATGTGTGGCAGGAGCAGGAGTTTCCTTTGAAAGGCTGTTGGAAATTGGTTTCTCCATCAGGTTGTGGCCAGCTGTTAACATCTGGACCAGATTCCGTGTCAGAGCAGATGATGACCCTCAGCCAGCCACAGAATGAGGCACAGCCATCCGTCACAGCTCTCCTGTCCCAGCAAATGTCAGAGAGTCCTCAGATTTCTCCTTCAATGACCACCAATCAGAATATGAAGAAGATTGATGACTTGCTGGTATCCCTGCAAAACCAGGGGAACAATACCATGGCTGGCTCCTTTTAACAAGTGAGGTAAGCCAGGACTTCTTTCCTGAGCTGCAGGCATTTTCTGTTTAATTAATGAAATTGGAGAGCATATAGAATTCTCTGTGCTGTTACTTGCCTGGAAAGGAGACGGGATTAGTGCTCATCTTGAGAGCCCATTGAGCACCAGCCTAATTCTCAAATCAATCCCTTGTTTTTTGGTTCTTTGGAGGGATAGGCAGCCTTATTTCAAAAGGTGCTGGTTACCACTAAATGATCTTGCTTAGAAAACAGTGTGGATTGAGTTTGTGGACCTTAACACTAACCTCAGGCTGAAGTATGGCAAGCATTAAAAAACAAAACTGCATTTGGCCAGGCTAGGCACATTTGCAAAAGAGTTTTAGGTGAAATTCTGTTTCTGCTGGCATTGATGGGTAGAAATTTTTTTTGCCAGCCGTGACTTTGTTATACTTCCCACTGAGCTCCCAACAGAGGTAATCTGTTAGAGTTGCCGGTGCCTGTTCCATCTTAGAATTGGGCCTCAGTCCAGAGTGGCAGCGATCCAGATATTCTGCGTCCTCTAGGCCTTCTGTCAATGATTCAATTCCCCACCCTCTGCTCTAAAGCCTTTCCCCAAAGGGGAAGGTTGGAAACCATGCGAAAGTTGTCAGTGTAGCTGACTGAGAAAATGGTTCTTTCAGAGCAGGCAGCATGACGTCCTCCTTCGGAGCAGCAGTGATTAAGGCCTGCATCTAGCCACTCGTCCCCTGCCCAGCAGCCTGAAGGAGCCAGGAGGTAGCAGGGCTCAGAACCCCACCACATCCTTGGGCTCCACATGCTCAGTAGAATCCCAGATCGAATCATAGGCTGCTGCCTCGCTCATCACAGTCGGGCAGACTCTGCCCAACTGGCATCAGTACCAGAGCAGAGAAGCCCCCATATTCATCTGGTGAGGCAGCTCGTGTTTTGCCCTGCCTGCCCTTCCCACGGACCTCCCAGACAGGAGTCTGTGAAAGCAAGAAGCCTAGAGAAGAACTGAACTATTGCCACCATGTGGGCGTGAACATGAGCCCTTACGAGCGTTTGGTTGTACCCACTTATGATCTGATTTTATGCATGTATGTATGTATGTATCTATGTTTCAAATTTGTCACTGCCCATCTCACTGCAGAGTGACTCTGGGCGCTTCACAGTAAAAACAGAATAAACATAAATTAAATTAAAGGGCAGTGCCACCCTTTCACTAGATACCTTTTCATGGAGGAAACCCCATTGCTGAAGGCTGCTGAACACAAGGGAGGGAGGATGAGTCTTTTTATTACTTGTAAATGTCTTTTTTTTCTTTCATTCTGCTTGTAATTTCAGAAATCCTGCACTGGACAAGCCAATTTGCAAGATTCCTTTAGCTCTTGTGATTCTGGAGTTTAGCGAAGTAGCGTTAACTGCCCTCTGTTAAAAAATGGCCTGGGCCTGCGGGGAAGCGTGATCTTCGTCCTTGCTTTGGAAGAACACCACTTTGGAAGTGCTGCTGAGCAAGAGCTTTGGAGAAGGGGTGGAAAAGCCATGCTCTGTGTTACCCAGGCACGGGTTAGACTGTTATCCCCATCCCCAGTCCTGCGGGGGGACGTAGAGCGTGGCTGCTCCTGTGTCAGTGCAAGGCAAGAACACTGGGCTCTCTCTTTCCCTCTCCCCTTCTTTTTCTGGTCTTCACAATCCTTGGGGGCCCTTGTGAAACACACAGGCATTTCCTCTGTCCTCAATAATTTCTGCTCCTCGTTTGGTA